ACCCCTCCATCCAGTAGTTAACCCCCTCAGGCCTCACGTTTCCACCCTGGAGGACATGGTAGCAATAGCAAACCCCACCTTTGAGGACACCATGGCCGCAGAAACTGGGTTCTCTGACACAAATGTTTGGCTTGAATGGATGAGGTACAGTGCAAATTCACACGATAAATCCAATTTTTATGTCTGTGGCAGTGCTAGGCCACATCTGGGTACTGTTCCCCTCCCAATCCCCACAGAAAGTGAGGAATGCTTCCTCAGTCTGTTCACACACACCAGCACCAATCACTCTGCATGTGAAAGTTGGAAAAAGGAGTACTCCATAGTCATCAAGACCCCAAAGCCAGGTGAGGGCATCACCTGCTACTCCAATTATAAGGGCAGAGGAAGGTTCCTGGGTAATTTTACCAAAGGTTACTGTTCCACTTATAGTAGTGTCCCAGGGGAGCTGGTACAAAACCAAACCCAGTCCCTTGGTGACATATACTGGATCTGCGGGGACCTAAAACTCAGGACAAGGTTAGAGGGAACCTGGACTGGTGAATGTGCCGTTATAAAGGCCATTATGCCTCTCCATATCCTAGCAGAAGACACCCCTGACACACACTCTGACCCAGCACCAAGCCGCAGGAGGAAGTGTGAAGCTCCTCCTGGGAGTTTTGACCCTCATGTGTATATAGATGCCATTGCAGTCCCAAGGGGGGTGCCTGATGAATTCGAAGCCAGGGATCAGGTTAAAGCAGGCTTCGAGACCCTAATTCCCATAATAACCGTTAATAAGTATGTAGATTGGATAAATTACATATATTACAACCAACAGAGATTTGTGAACTGCACTAGGGATGCCCTCCAAGGAATTGCTGATCAGCTAGCCCCTACATCCTATGACGTTTCAGAATAGGATGGCCCTGGACATGATTCTAGCAGAGAAAGGGGGCGTTTGTAAAATGATAGAAGGTACAGGGACGTGTTGTACCTATACTCCTGATAATACTGGACCGAATGGTAAGGTTACATTAGCCATTAAGAAGCTAGAAGACCTGTCAGTAGAACTGAAAAAGAATTCAGGTATCACAGACTCATGGGACCGATATTTCAGTTGGATGAGTGGGTGGCAGAAGATTCTGGCTCAAGTGGGAATGACCATACTGATCATCCTATTCATTCTTGCCCTAATAGTTTGTTGTTTCCTACCTTGCATAAAGAAGCTAATGAAAAAGGTAGTAGACAGTGGCACCCCAACCTTCCTGAATCAAGAAGAGGGGGTTTTCTATGCAAAAGAGGAAGAGAAATCATATACTCCATTACAGTCCCTCCTCCCCAGTTACAATACTATTGCCCCGTAGGGAAAGCATCTGACTTTCTTATGTGCAAAGTCTGCGGCAAGAGGGGTGATAATGTAGCCATCACTCGTCTAACGTGCAACTCAAAAGAGTTCCAAGGCACATAAGGACAGATGAGTTAGGTTTCATGGTTTTATAGGGACAGAATAAAATAGTCATTTTAAGGGGGGACTGTGATGGAATTAAGTAAAATGACCATTTTGTAATGTATATATATATATATATATATATATATATATATATATATATATATGCAGCTACTCTTTTATATTCCTTGCTCAAAATGGCTGCCAGATGCACCCCCTCCCATCGAGTGAAGAATGTGTAACTAAGATGGCGCCTCCATCCGGAGCTACACCCAAGACGATGATGTTTAGATCCTGGAGGAAGTTTACCTTATATGGACATGACCAATCAGAAGCTTATGAGTAGTCTAGTGATGCTACGCTTGCATGACCTTTGCACTAGCTGCTTGCCCATAAAAACCTCTGTGCCTTAGTTCAATAAAGGAAGTGTCATTTGTCTGAACACAGCTTCAGTGTGATTCTTCTCGTGCATGCACTATTACCATACAGCGAATCAGGACGGGGCAGATACTCAGACAATTGGTCTACTCCAAAACAGCACCATGAATTCTGCCCTCTACCAGAAAATCTTGAACGGGAAGGCCCAGCCATCAGTTCATGACCTCAAGCTCAAACACACTTGGGTTATGCAGCGGGACAAAAATCCAAAACACACCAGCAAGTCCACCTCTGAATGGCTCAAAAAACAAAATTAAGGTTTTGGAGTGGCCTAGTCAAAGTCCAGACTTAAATCCGAGTGAGATGCTGTGCATGACCTTAAACAGCAGACTGTTCATGCTTGGAAACCCCTCATTGTGGCTGAATTAAAACAATACTGCAAAGAAGACTGGGACAAAATTCCTCCACAATGATGTGAAAAACTCATTGCCAGTTATCGCAAATGCCTGGATGCATTTGTTGCCACCAAGAGTGATACAACCAGTTATTAGGTTTAGGGGGCAAATGTTTTTCACATAGGGCCAAGCAGATTTGGACAGCTTTTTTCCTTTATATATCATCATTTAAAAACTGCATTTTGTATTTCCTCGGGTTATCTTTATGTCATTTTAAAATTTGTTTTGATGATCTGAATCATTTAAATGTGACAAATATGCTAAATATTAAAAAATCAGAAAGGGGGCAAATACTTTTCCACAGCACTGTATTTAAATCCTTTGATTGGACTTGTTTATGTGTTATTGTCATTGTTACCTTTGGAACTGTGTGTCTGTTTGCTTGTACATTTTCCAGTAACACACTTTATTGGCTATTCAGGCAGCACAGTTTTTTGTGCTCCTTGACACTATTGGGATGCAGCAGTGAACATTAGGGTTTCGGTTTATTTCTTTTGTTTAACATTTTTAAAATGAATTTTGTGCCCAGATCATGCACAGAAATGTGCCAATATCATGTATTTACACATTCTGAGCAAGCGGTAAAAACACAAGCCCTCATTCAGCTCTATCTATAAGCATTGTGGTGAAATTCATTTTCATATCTCACCACGCAGGTACAGCTTATTTCCTATGAGAACATATCTTGGAAAGCTGCAAGCCCTAAAATGTAAACAATAAGCAGGTGTGTCTAGGCTGTTAGAAATCAACTGAAACGAGTCTTCAGAGGGCCATACAGTGTAAAAAAACTGCCTTATTTCTGTAGTCACGGACGTTGCATACAGCCGCCTGTCCAAATTAACAACAGGATGCAACTGTGCACTAATAAATGCAGATCTGAACATATAAATAGTTCTATAGTAAGTCAGGTTGAAAAAAAGACTCAGTTCCATCTAGTTCAAGAAATGTCTATATACAGAATCCTGTACCCACAGTTGGTCCCGAAGCTAGACCAATGTAACTATGCAAGAAAATAATACCTAAACTTTAGCCTTAACATCCCTATCAATATATATACAATTATAGAAGCATGCTCACTTTTTAAAGTGTTTCTTCATTAGCATTTATCAGGGTCATAACTATGTATGATGGGGTCCCATAGAAAACCTTCTATGGGACCTTCCTGCCTCTCTAACCTTCATTTTAAAGACAATTCCTACACAATATGAAGTGCTTGCATATAATTTATATATAGTTTCCCTTCTTATAAAGGAACATGGTAATTCAATACAGTAAAAATGGAGCCAACAAATATGAAAGTAGTCATCTGCTCAGAGCCTTGGCATTATATAGTTGTTTAGGGACAGTGGTGCCAACTTCTTTCCATTGTTCAGTGTCAGATGTCAGTTGTTACTTGCAAATGTATGCCACTTTTTGCTTTATAAAAGAAAGTCGAAACCTAAAAAAATATCAGCTCAAACACTGCACCAGTAATGGAGGTGGAACTGTATGAGGTATATAGGCAAATGAGCAGTCAGTCAAAGGGGTAGCAAGCTGAGCTATAATGAAAAGTTTAAAAACCCAGTGCTAATCCTCAAGGAGAGCCATAATCTGCATCACTGGCCTCATTAATATTTTATAGTGGACCTTCCTAGAATTAAAAATATATATTTCTCTGCAGATTAGTCTTTATGATTAAAGTCCAACTCTTCCTAAGCCAACCTGCAGTGTAATGAATACAAAAATAAAAAGATGGGGTGGAAGAGAAGGTTTCCTCATGTAATGGAGTTAAGCTTTCTTACAGAGTGATACATGTCAGATGGAGGGAGTCTATCAGGGTGGGATTTTACAAAGTGCAAAAAAGTAATTTGAGAGCACATCGGAGTGTGGCTTAAAAGAGAAGTAGGGCTTTTTTCCCCCTATTTATACTTACCTAGGTGGATTCAGCATCAGTCCGATGCTTCATCTGTCCCCCGGCAGCTCTAAGGGTGAGAACTCAGAAATCACATGACCGCTGATCACTTAGTTCTCCTCTCTGCTCTGAGCAGAGAGCGGGACTGCCAGTCACCACAGTCTGCTCAGGCCCTCCCACTCCCTCACTCACTGGAGTGCTGTGGAGGCTGAGCCAGGTGCTGCTCCAGACTCCTGGGTGGATCCTGATTTTGAAGTCACTTTTGAAGTGGTGTCACTCGACAGCGGACTTCAGTCTGCTGTTAGCTGAAAATGCGTCACAGGAGTGCATAACGAACTTCACTCTTGAGATCCACAGGAGAAATACAGCCAAACAAGCTTTGGCTGTACTTATCCTTTAACCACAAGCCTACAGGGCACTTATACCCCCTTCCTGCCCAGGCCAATTTCCAGCTTTCAGCGCTGTTGCAATTTGAATGACAATTGCGCGGTCATGCAACACTGTACCCATATGAAATTTTTATCATTTTTTTTGTAACAGATAGAGCTTTATTTTGATGGTATTTAATAAACTATGGGTTTATTTTTTCTTAAAAACAAACCAAAAACCACTGAAAATGTTGGAAAAAAAAAACGTTTTTTCTTAGTTTTTGTTATAAAATTTTGTAAATAAGTGATTTTTCTCCTTCACTGATGTGTGCTAATGAGGCTACAGTGATGGGCACTGATAGGCTGCACTGATTGGCACTGATAAGGCACAGGTAGGTGGCACTGATGGGCATTGACAGGCATCACTGATGGGCACTGAAAGGCAGCACTGATATATGGCACTGATAGGCGGCACTGACTGGCACTAATAGGCAGCACTGATTGGCAGCACTGATTGGCATTGATAGGTGGCACTGACTGGCATGACTGGCACTGATGGGTGACACTGAAAGGCAGCTCAGATGGGCAATGATATGTGGCATTGATGTGCACTGGTAGGCACTGATATGTGGCATTGATGTGGCACTGGCTGGCACATGGCACTGATGAGCACTGACAGCTGGCACTGATGGACACTGACAGGTGGCACTGCTGGGGCGACACTGATCATCAGGGCACACTGATTATCAGTGCCCTGATGATCAGTGTACATGTCCCCTCCGTGGAATGCCAATTACCGGCTCTCCTCTCGAGCTGTCAGCGTGACAGCTCGAGAGGAGAGAATTACCGATAACCGGCATTTCCCTTTTTAAATGGAATCAGCTGTGATTGGACACAGCTGATCACATGACCGAGCCAACATCTTCAGCTCTTTCTGTGGATCGGTGATCCGCTGTGTCCGAGGGACACAGCGCACCGCCGATCGCCACACTGCGTGCTCCGGGAGCTGCGCATGCACGGTTAGAATGGGAGGACATCATATGACGTCCTCCCAGAACGAGAGAACCACCTTGCGTCCATCATATTACTATATGGCAAGCGGGAGGTGGTTAAGGACATTCAAGGTGCCAGTTGTGAGATTAGACATGGCCTGACATTGGCCAACACCCAGTTCTGGTGAGTCTGATAAAAAAAAAGGAACTTTGAGCAGTATGCATTCCTCTTGTCAGAGCTCAGCTTGAGATGTTGCCCATAATAGTCAGCTTTTCTCATTCAGTCATTAGGCCTCGCTCACACAGGGTGTACTTAAGCATACATTCACGTAGAAGGATGTGTTTTCCGTGCATTCCTGTGCAGGCTGTCCCCATTCATGTCAATTAGGATGCAAAAGCTGCACGCAAACTGCTGCTCCCAATTTGTTATCCGTGTGGATGTGGACATGTGACCCTGAATCCAAATTATTTGCATTCGGGGACATCCACACAAGAAAACTAGGTAATGTTAGGCCTATACATTTTGCCCCAAACCTTTCTATGGATCTATGATTTATCTACATTCTTCCTTGCAAAGTCACTGAAGAAAATAAATATAAAAAAAAAAAGAAAGAAAAGCATACTGTTACTATAGCTAAAGGAGTTTTGAAAAGTAACTTGCAATTCTGTATGTTTTAAATTCCAAAAGTTACAATTCTAACAATCCCAACATTGCGGGGTTCTAGGAAACCCCCCCCAACATGTCTGTGTGTGTGCCATATTTCGAGGATCTCACCTGGTGATGAAACCTTGTCTCCTCGTTGGCAGGAAACTCCCAGTCTGCATCTGTTTGTCTTCTTCTACAGCTGGATCAGCAAGCACAGACACATTTGGGGAGTGGTGGTGCTCCAATCACTTGACTTCCTTTCAGACGATCTGGTCAAGTAATCTTTTTGATTGTAGAGAGGCTGGAGTGCAAAGCTTGAACCTGAGGAATGAGCTGAGCTTCTTCCAGCAGTTTTTCTTGTTCTTGCACCTGTGCTTTTCTCCTGCAGATCCTGCTTGCATGGCTACAAAAACAAGAAATGTGTTCACTGGATTACCGTAAGAGGTGTAAACACACACGTCTGCTTTGCTCTCTTGCCAGAACTGATCCAGCTGGCTGAATTCATTTCCCTGAGAAGCCACATCTTGCACACAGTAAACACTGGGAGAAGGTTGAAAATTTCAGGGCTGTAATGTGCTTAGATCAGAAGCTACATGGAGCCACCTAGTGATTGAATTTCATACTGCTAATACGTTTCCTGTTTCAAAGTGCTATGGGTAAGAATAATCATGCATATTATTCAGGTATGACTAAAAATTATTCACACTCAGAAATGTATCATTCTAATTCCTACAATTAACTGCTTGCAGACAGTGTAACATATGTAATGGCAAGAAAGGTAGGCTTTAATGCCCAGACACAACACATATGCATCTACAGCGCCATGAGGTTACATGCTGAGAGCACGCTCACTATGCACTCTCAGCACACTGAACGAGCTGTCACTGACAGCTGTCAGTCAAGACTTTTAAATGGGAGCCAGCAGGACCTGTTCCCAGTCATAAGACTGCTGTGAGAGCCAATCGCAACGTTGACATGGTTCATATGATAAAGAAGCTGTGTCACCTCCCAGGCATCAAAGCCCACTTAACCACTTTCCCTCCAAAGGATTTACCCCCTTCCTGACCAGGCCATTTTTTTTTTTTGTGATAAGGTGCTGCATTACTTTGACAATTACGTGGTCATGCAATGTTGCAAATTAAATTTACATCCTTTTTTTCCCACAAATAGAACTTTCTTTTGGTGGTATTTGATCGCCTGTGCGTTTTTTATTTTTTGCACTATAAATAAAAAAAGACTGACAATTTTGAGAAAAAAAAACTATATTTTTGACCTTTTGATATTAAACATGTCCATCAAATTTTGTCATAAATTTAAGCCAAAATGTATTTTGCTACATGTCTTTGCTAAAAAAAAATCCCAATGCCTGTATATTAATTGGCTTACATGAAAGTTATAGCGTCTACAAATGGAGGTATATATTCTGGATATTTTTTTTTTAACTAGTAAGGGCGGTGATCAGTGACTTATAGCAGACATTCTGACATTGGGGGGAACTGACTTGGTGTCACTGACATCCCCAGTGACACCAATACAGTGATCAGTGCTAATAAAAAGCACTGACACTGTACTTATAGCACTGGGCATGAAGGGGTTACCATCTGGGGTGAACAAAGGGTTAACTGTGTGTTGTTTCACAATGGAGGCTGTGTGTGTGATTAACTGTAAGCACATTGCTTTATATGCAGAGCCATACAAAGTAGTGTGCAGGAGCTGACAGAGGAGAGATCTGTATTGTTTACATACAGGTCAATCCTCCGTCGAAGATACTTGGCGATCACCAGTTGCCAGTGAGTAATCAGCGGCCGGGACCCGGTGATTGACAGCCGAGGCTGCGAATGGCGGCACGGGTAGGGCACGTGCACGGCTTGCACACGCCCCCTACCAGGATCTGCAAGATTACATATATATACACGCGATTTTGCGCACATGTGCTGCCCTGTAGCAGCATTTCTGCTATAGAGCGGTGCAGAACTGGTTAAGGGACCACCGGGAGGCGGTGTTAAGGGATTAAAGTATATCTAAAGCCAAACCTTTTTTTGGATAAGGGAACAAATGGTTAAAACCCATGTTATTTTTTTCTTGCTGTTTTGGGGAGAATTTTTTCCTCTTCCCATTTGAAGATTTTGTTTTATTACAGGATTTATATAACACCACCAGTTTGTGTAGCTCTTTCAAGAATAAAGGGAAACAGTGCATTAACACAACTCTAACTTTCTTGTCTTGAACTATATTGTAAAAATACAACAGCAAGTAAGAGTAGCTCTTTTGAAAATAAAGAAACGCCTAGTGGAGGAAGCACAGTGGCTAAATGGTTAGCACTTCCACCTGGCAGCACTAGGGTCAATGGTTCATAATCCAAACCACAGCACCACCTACCTGGAGTTTGCATGCTCTCCCTATATCTGCATGGCTTTCCTCCTGGTACTCCAGTTTCCTCCCACACTCCAAAGACATGCTGGTAGGTTAATTGGCCCTAGTATGTGTAGGTATGAATGTAAGTTAGGGACCCTAGATTGTACACCCCTTGAGGGTTAGGAATTGATGTGAATGCACAATATATATATGTAAGGCACTGCATAAATTGACAGCTCTATTTAAGTAACTGAAATAAAATAAATAAATAATTATGACCAACCAGAACAATCTTTCCTATTGGAAGTCCCAATCATGTACAGCTCAGACTGAGGAGTTAGTTGTGGATTCACGGGAATATATTCAATTAGGCTGATTAGCTAAACTAGCACCACTTTAAAATCAGAAAAGAAAAAAATCTGTGTTAAAATTTAGTATTTTACATGTACATGTCAATAAGTGTGTAAATCATACCCCTTTTAATTCTGGGAGCTAGAAGAAGCAGGATAGATTTTTTACAGACATATATGCAATTTACAATTTTACAGGCATGTAGAGCGGGTGCACAACCTCAAATGCACACTACCTGCAGTCAGGGCCGTGCACCCACTCCTGGACACCTTAACACGTAAACATTTTGACATGCAGCTGCATCTGCTTTTATAGGCCTGCGCACAGCTGGGGGCAGATGCAGACACCAAAATAGCTCATGCACACAGCATGGGTGCCAGCCTGATTTCAAATGAGAACTTATGAGCAGCCTATTATTTATGACAATTTTTATGGCAGATTTTTACAAGTGAAGAGCCAAACACACCTTGGTTTGGTTCGAGCAGGGATGGGCAAACATGAGTAAAGTTCAGCTGCTGAATCCACACCCCTTTGAAGTCAATGGGAGCTGAATGTTGACAATCAGTTCTGACTATTTTCTAGGCTGACAAAGGCTAACAAACCACAACTTTATAATAAATAAGTGAAACCAGCCATATAAAAAGTGCTTAGTCCAGCATATATTCTCTGAGATTCCATCAAATCTTGAAAGGTGGTGAGAAAACATGATTCCTCCACCAAATAAATTATCAACCTCTTACCAAAAATATTGATCTCACTTTCCAGAGATCAATACATGCTTGTGTGCTCGTACTCAGCACTCATCTCACTGATAGGATACTTTCACTTTCCTCCTCAGCATAATGCGACAGACACCATAAGGAATCTTCTTGTGTAATAAACAGATATTCCCTCCGGAGAAAAAGACCACAGGACTGCAATGGTGTTATATCATAAAAACAATTTTTTATTTAAAATAAGCAGATATATACTCGCCAACATAAGAAGTATAGGAGCACAAAAGAAACAGACATCAAAGCCTCGAGTATATAAAATAATACAGGATTTATATATACAGTTTGCGCAGAGCTTTACAATATGAGGGAGGCAGATCAATTACAATACATTTCAGTACAGAAGGAATAGGAGGGCCCTGCTCATGGAGCTTACAATCTAAAGGAAGGGGGAGGTGATACAAAAGGTGATGGCTGCGGGGGATGATCTGGTGGAGGTCGCCTAAAGGCAGACGACAAGGTAGGGGCTGACCGGACATACTGAGGTAGGGAGTTCCAGAGGATGGTAGAGGCTCTGGAGAAGTCCTGGAGGCGAGCGTGGGAGGAGGTGATGAGGGAGCTAGAGAGGAAGATGTCTTGAGTGGAGCGGAATGGGCGATATCTGTGGATGAGGTTGGTGGTGTAGCTAGGGGCATGGCTTTGTAAGCTGTGGTTACTATCTTGAATTTTATACATTGGTTTAGTGGAAGCCAATGAAGGGATTATATCAGCATGTCAATGACATCACTGGCTTGGCCCCGCCCAACATGTTTCGCCACCAATCAGCATCGTCAGAGGAATGGAGCATGGTCGGCATCACCAGTAACAGATCTTATATATCACGGAGGTTTTCTATTCT